AGCAGCCACTGCACTCCAGTCTGGCGACAGAATGAGACTCCGACTCAAAAAAAAAAGAATAGAACTCAGTCTCAGTAAAGAGACCCCATGCCTCACTGAAGAGACATGGTTGCCTCAGAAACTGCTATCCTACTTCCTTTTAAAGAAAATGGGGAGGTGGTGAGTTCAGTTCCTTCAACAGCTCAGCAAAAACGATTTATTAGGCCTATTCCACCACTAGGATTAGAGCAGAGAACAAAACAAAGTCCCTGGTCTCAAGGAGCATGAATTGGGGAAAGAGGCCAACAAATGAATCAGATGTTCGAGAAGAAATGAAGCAGCCAGAGTAGAGCAGGCCAGGAGCGTTGTGAGGGGAAGGAGCCTCTGGGTATTTTATGCGAAGGTGGTTAGAAGTCCTCTCAAAATGACATTTGAGCAGAAACCCAAAGGAAGCAAGGAACTAGAGGAATGTTTCAGGAAGAGCAACAGCAAATGCAAAGACTCTGAGGTGGGAGGGAAACTGTCCCAAGGCCAGGTGTGGCTGCGGCAGGGCAAGCCAGTGGAAGAGGGACACAGACACACAGGTCCGGGGGGGACCATGCAATGCCTGCCAGATCTGTTGTTTTCATTCCGAGATGGGAAACCTCTGGAGGGCTTTCAGATTCACTTTTTTTTTTTTTTGAGTTGGAGTCTCACTCTGTCGCCCAGACTGGAGTGCAGTGGCCGCTCCTGGCCACCACAGCCGCGACCTGCTGGGCTCCGGCGATCCTTCTGCCTCAGCCTTCCCAGTAGCTGGAACTACAGGCACGCGCTGCCACGTCAGGCTAATTTTTTGATTTATTGTAGAGATGAGGTCTCGCTGCCCAGGCGGGTCTCGAACCCGCGGGCTCAGGCAATCTACTCACCTCAGCCTCCCAAGGCGTGGGATTACAGGCTGAGCCACCGAGCCCGGCTCAGATCCACATTTTAAAGAAGGGGATCGTGTAATTTACCACTAAAACAGGCACACTTCAGTGAGTGAAGAAGGGTGACACATATTAATAGTTACCTCTGGACAATAGGCATCAACAAGGCCTTAATTTTAAAAGGCTTCTCTGCGTGCAAGCCATTTTGAAGGGGTTCCCTCTGGTCAAACCTGGAACAATTTGATAAAAAATATATAGAGATAATAAAAGATTATGACACATTGAATAAAATATCTGTGAGTCCACATTGATAAAAATAAATAAATAAGAATGGAAACCTCTTTCTTAGAGTAGAAAGCTAACTAGCAAATACAGAAGGAAAGACAAAATAAGGAAATCACTATTTGGCAACCATCATAAAGATAACTGATTAGGGCAAGAATCATCAATAAATGTTAAAAATTAGCAGGGGAAACCTTGAGAACAGGATATTTACATAGCCGTAAAATATCTTCCCACAAGATACTTATTAATTATAAAAGACAGATTAATAACTTTGAAGCAGAGAAAACTAGCCCCTACCACCTTTCATAAGTTATTTATTAATTATTTGTTTGTTTTCAGGATCTCACTGCTGCTTAGACTAGAGTGCAGCTGCACAATCATGGCTCCCTGCAGCCTCCAACCCCTAGGCTCAAGCAATCCTCCTACATCAGCCTCCTGAGTAGCTGGGACTACAGTCATGTGCCACAATATCTGGCTAACTTTTCAATTTCTGGTAAAGACAAGGTCTCGCTACACTGCCCAGGCTGGTATAAACTCCTGGCCTCAAGCGATCCTCCCACCTCGGCCTCCCAAAGTGCTTGGATTACTAGTGTGAGCCACTGTGTCTGGCCTCCCACCACCTTAACTGTTTAAATTAGCATTTCCAGTAATAAGACCAATGAATATCATGTGTATACTAATATGATACACAAAGAAGCACTCAGCATCACGTCTTGGGTATAATGTGAATAATCTGAATCTAACCAGGAGGAAACAACAGATAAACACAAATTGAGGAAATTGCCATAAAATAACCGGCCTGGACTTTTCAAATTCTCAACACAATAAAAATGCAAAGACAGACTCAGGAACTGTTCAAGATCAAAGGAGACAAGACCACTGTATCAATACATAATTTTGAATGTTCTTTTGTTATAATGAATAGTATTGGACAATTGGCAAAATCTGAATAAAGTCTATAGATTAGATAATAGCATTGTATACATGTTAAGTTCCTCATTTTGATCACTGTAAAACGGTTATGTAAGATTTTCTTGTTTTTAAAAAATACGTATTGAAGTATTTAGATGTTTAGTAGCATAACATCTGCCACCTACCCTTAGATACTTCAGAAAAAAATTCTGAGGGTGACAAATTCTAGCAAAGAAAAGAACAATAAAGCAAATATAGTATAAAGTTATCCTTTGGGAAATCTGGATGAAGGTTATTTACAAATTCTTTGTTGTATTCATGCAAATCTTCTACAAGTCTGAAATTATTTTTCTCCTGATTTATTTTTATTGTGGTAAAATACACATAACAAAATTTACTATCTTAAGTTGGCAGTTCAGTGATAGTAAGCACAACTGTTCTGCTGTGTAAGCATTGCCATCATCTATCTCCAGAACTCTTTTCATCTTGCCAACTGAAACTCTTATACCTATTAAACAATAATGAGCCCCTGGCAACCATCATTGGTGACGATAATTTGGTACCTAGCTGAGGGACTGGGACTCGGGCAAGGGAGAACTATTTGCATTCTTTCTTTTCATTTTTAAAATCTGCAGCAAAATATACACAATACAAACATTACTGTTTTAAGCACTGTTAAGTGTACAAAGTCAGTAATATTAAGCACATTCACAACGTTGTGCAACCATCACCACTATCCATTTCCAGAACTTGTTCAACATCCCAATCTGAAACTCTGTACCAGTTAAATAACTCCCCATTCTTCCTTCTGTCTCCTGCTCCCTGTACCCACTATTCTACTTTCTGTCATTACGAATTTGACTACTCTGGGTATCTCATGTACGTGGAATCATTCAATATTTGCCCTTTTGAGTCTGACAGTCCACGCAGCATAATATCATCAGGGTTCATCCATATTGTAGCATATGTCAGAACTTGCTTCTCTTTCAGGGCTAAATAATATTCCACTGTATGTATATACTACAACTTGTTCATTCATTCATCTGTCAATGAGCATTTGGATTGCTTCCACCTTTTCGCTACTGTGTATCATGCTATGAACATGGGTGTACAAATATCAGTTCGAGTCTCTGCTTTTAATTCTTTTGCATATATACTCAAAAGTGGAACTGCTATATCTGGTAATTCTATGTTTAATTTTTGTGAGGTACCACCATATCGCTTTCTCCAGAGGCTGCACCACTTTATATTCCCTCCATCAGTGCATAAAGGTTCCAGTTTCTCCACATCCCTGCCAACACTTTCTGTTCTTTTAACAATAGACATCCTAAAGGCTGAAGAATATTCCATTGTATGTATATACACATTTTGCTTATCCAGTCATCCTTTGATGACACTTGGGCCATAGCCATGATTTTGCTGCTGTAAATAACACTGTGAACTTTAGGTATGTAAGCATGACTCTTGATTTTTTACTTCCTTGATTAAGCTAACTCCTAAGTATTTTATTCTTTTTTACATTATTGTTTTTGCTGTTTTTTGAGGCAGGGTTTTACTCTGTCACCCAAGCTGGAGTCCAGTGGCATGCTCACAGCTCATCACAGCCTCAAACTCCTAGGCTCAAGTGTTCCTCCTGCCTCAGGCTCTCAAGTAGCTAGGACTACAGGCATGCACCACCATGGCCAGCTAATTTTTCCAGTTCTTATAGAGATGGGGTCTCACTATGTTGCCCAGGCTGGTCCTGAACTCCTGGCCTCAAGCAATCCTCCTGCCTCAGCCTCCCCAAGTGCTGGGATTACAAGTAAGAGCTACTGCACCCAGCCCATTTTATGCTATTGCGAATTGAACTGTTTTCTTAATTTCCTTCTTGGACCATTCATTGTAATTGTATTTATTTACTTATTTATTTTTCAAGATATGGGTCTCTCTATGTTGCCCAGTCTGGCCTCAAACTCCTGGGTTCAAGCGATCCTCCTGCCTCAGCCTTCCAAGTAGTTAGGATTACAGATGAGTGCCACTGTTCTCAGCTTGTTCACTGCTAGTGTATATACATGCAACAGATTTTTGCATGTTGAATTTGTATGCTGCTACTTTATTAAGTTCATTCATTAGTTCTAATAGTTCCTTCAGAGAATCTTTGGGGTTATCTGCATGTAAGATCATATCATCGGCCGGGCTCAGTGGCTCAGCCTGTAATCCCAGCAGTTTGGGAGGCCGAGGCCAGTGGATTGCCTGAGCCCATGGGATCAAGACCCACCTGGGCAACTTGGCGAGACCTCGTCTCTACAATAAATCAAAAACTAGCCAGGCGTGGTAGCGAATGCCTGTAGTTCCAGCTACTTGGAAGGTTGAAGCGAAAGGATCACTGGAGCCCAGCAGGTCGAGGTTGCAGTGGCCGGGAATGCGCCACCGCACTCCAGTCTGGGCGATACAGTGAGACTCCAACTCAAAAAAAAAAACACCATATAATCTGCAAACAAGGATTTCACTTCTTACTTCCAATTAGAGTTGCCTCTTATTTATTTTACTTGCCTAACTGCACTTTCAGTACTACGTTGAATAAAAGTGACAAAAGTAGACATTCTTGCTTTGAGTTGTTTGTGCTACTTTTCCCAACACCTTAACCTATAAAGTTAGGTTGTTGACTTATGACTTTTCTTGGTTCTGTTTTTTTTTTTTTTTGAGACAAGGTCTCGATGTGTTGCCCAAGCTGGAGTGCAAAGGCATGATCATAGTGCGATGCAACCTCAAACTCCTGGGCTCAAGCAATCCCGGTGCCTCAGCCTCCTGAGTACTTAGGACTACAGGAGCATGTCACCATGCCTGGCTATTTTTATTTTGGTAGAGACAGGGTCTCACTTTGTTGCCCAAGCTGGTCTCAAAATCCTAGCCTCAAGTGATCCTCCCATCTCAGTCTCCTAAAAGGCTGAGATTATAAGTGTGAGCCATAGCACTCAAACTTGTTTTTTTGGTTTTTTGTTGTTGTTGTTTTTTGAGTTGGAGTCTCACTCTGTCGCCCAGACTGGAATGTAGTGGCCGCTCCCGGCCACTGCAGCCTCGACCTGCTGGGCTCCGGCGATCCTTCCGCCTTAGCCTTCCAAGTAGCCGGAATTACAGGCATGCGCTGCCACACCCGGCTGATTTTTTGATTTATTGTAGAGATGAGGTCTCGCTGCCCAGGCAGGTCTCGAACCCGCGAGCTCAGGCAATCCACTCACCTCAGCCTCCCAAAGGCGCGGGATTACAGGCTGAGCCACCAAGCCCAGCTCAAACTTGTTTTTTAAGAGAAGTATTTGTAGCTATAAATTTCGCTTTGAGGCCAGGTGTGGTGGCTCAAGCCTGTAATCCTAGCACTTTGGGATGTTGAGGAGGGAGGATTGCTTGAAGCTAGGAATTTGAGACCAGCCTCAACACATAGCAAGACTCTGTCTCTATGGAAAATAAAATATATATATATATTTTTTTTTTTTTTCCTCTTTGGGCATAGCTTCCTTTGTGTCCCATACATTTTGGTATGTTGTTTTTGTTTTAATTTGTCTATAAGAATTTTCTCATTTCCCTTGTGAATTCCTCTTTGCTTCATTAGTTATTTAAGAGTTTTGGTTTGATTCCACACATTTATGAATTCTCAAGTGTTCTTTTTGTTACTGATGTCTAACTTCATCCCATAGTGGTCAAAGAATATAATTTATATGAGGGGGAACCCCCAAAATTCCCAAAATGTACTTATAAATCTTGCTCAGGGTGAGATCAGGTGAATAGGGAAGGCAGGGCACAGGAGTCATGTCATTGTGGTTAAGAAAACAGTCCCAGTCGGGCTCGGTGGCTCAGCCTGTAATCCCGCGCTTTGGGAAGCCGAGGTGAGTGAATTGCCTGAGCCAGTGGGTTCAAGACCCGCCTGGCCAACTTGGTGAGACCTCATCTCTACAATAAATCAAAAAAATTAGGTGGGCGTGGTAGCGCGCGCCTGTAGTTCCAGCTACTTGGAAGGCTGAGGCAGAAGGATCACCAGGGCCCAGCAGGTCGAGGCTGC